CCCAGGGGGGGGGGGGGGGGGGACACGAGATGGTCCATTTCCCCCCACCTGGGTAAAAAAAGCGAAACTCCGTCTCAAAAAAAAAAAAATTTAAAAAAAAAAAAAAAAAAAAAAAAAGATTTTAGATAAGGTTCCAGAATAGGCCATTAAGGAAAGTTACAGATGTTTGATTACATATAAGGCTTTTTTAGTTTGCACTAATGAACTTCAATATTCCATTCACAAATAAATTCAACCTCAATATTCCATTCACAATTAAAACTTTATGGTATTACTGTTTACATTAGGTATTACTGTAGAAATTATATTAGCCCATTCTCTGAAGGGCAATTTGTAGATAGTTATTAAAATTTTAAATTTATATACACTTTGACCCAGAAAGGCCCCTTCTAGAAATTTATTCCTCAGATAAACATGTATAAAGGAAGTATTTGCAGCATGACTATTTTTAATCGTAAAAGATTGGAAACAACCTGAATGTCACAAAACAAGAGCTGAATAAATTATGGGACTTTATAAAAAGGGAGAGGGCACAGATCTATGTCCTGATATGGAATATTCTTCAAGTTATACTGTTAGATAAAAAGTAAAAGGTACAGAACAGTGAGTATAATGTGGTACCATTTATACTGGGAGAAGGGAAGAGAAAAAAAAGGAAGAGGTGAAGGCGATGTATGCTTATATCTGAATACAAAAATCTCTGAAAGGATTCAAAATAAATGTTAACAGTAGAAAGAGCCCCGGGAAAGACTTAGTGTTCACTGTGTTACCTTTTTTACTGTTTTAATTTTTTACTCTCTATATATATACACATTATCTATTTGAAATCATTTAAAAATGTTTTCAATCCTATACATTTCATGTACAGTTATTCCTAACAGCAAAAAATTAAAAACCTGAATGTCCATGAACAGGGTAATAATCTATCATTTAGCCATACTCACGCAAGTGTGAAAAGATATATTTACATCCACCAGATGTGCACTATAACATCACTTGTAACTGAAAAGATGAAGTCAACCTAAATGTCTATCAATAAAGGTATATGCATTGTGGTACAAGCATACTATTCTATGCAGTCAAAATGTCATAAATACTGTTAAGCGGAAAAAGAAGCTTTAAATATTATAATTTCATTTTTGTAAAAAGTAAAAAATTACATATACTTTTTAAATTTCAACGCATTTGGGTTTGGGTTTCCTTTTTTTTAAGACAGAGTTTCGCTTTTGTCATCCAGGCTGGAGTGCAATGACGCAATTTTGGCTCATTGCAACCTCTGCCTCCCAAGTTCAAGTGATTCTCCTACCTCAGCCTCCTGAGTAACTGGGTTTTCTAATTAAACAAATGTGCATGCACATCTCTGCCTATGCTTCCCTAAGCATAGAGTAGGGTCTGGAAGGAGAAACAACGAACTATTAATAACGAATACACGAAGGGAAGAAACCAGGGAAAAGAATTAGGGATTGTCACATTTTTACTTTCAACAGTGTTACACCATTTGACTTTGTTAGACAAATGTCAGTATTTTTGCAACTAATAAAAAAAAAAACTTCTAAAAAATCTACATGAGGTCTGGTGTGCATGGTAGCTCATGCCTGAAATCCCAGCACTTTGGGAGGCTGAGGCAGGCCGAGGTCAGGAGTTTGAGACCAGCCTGCCCAACATGATGAAACCCCATTTCTACTAAAAATACAAAAATTAGCCAGGCATGGTAGCACATGCCTGTAATCCCAGCTACTTGGGAGTCTGAAGCATGAGAAACTGCTTGAACCCAAGAGGCAGAAGTTGCAGTAAGCCACTATTGTGCCACTGCACTCCAGCCCGGGCAACAGAGTGAGACTCCATCTAAAAAAAAAGTTAAAAGGTTATGGGGCCAGGCACAGTGGCTTACACCTGTAATCCCAGCACTTTGGGAGGCCAAGGCAGGTCAGGAGGTTCGAGACTAGCCTGACCAACATAGAGAAACCCCGTCTCTACTAAAAATACAAAATTAGCCAGGTGTGGTGGTGCATGCCTGTAATCCCAGCTACTCAGGAGACTGAGGCAGGAGAATCACTTCAACCTGGGAAGCAGAGGCTGCGGTGAGCCCAGATTGTGCCATCGCACTCCAGCCTGGGCAACAAGAGCGAAACTCCTTTACAAAAAAAAAAACTACTTGAGTTAATAAGCCCATTTAAAAATGATGCCAAATAGTCTCAAAGTGTCTCCAATGGGAAAGATGGTAATTTTAAAATAGAAACCAACGTAACCAAATGATTAAGATAAATATCACCAGTAGTAAGAACTACTGATATCAAGAATCCCTTGATATGATACACTGAGAAAGACACCACTTATGTTATGCTTTTTTTCTTTTTAATAGAAAAGGGGTCTCACCTAGGCTGCTCTTGAACTCTTGGGCTCAGGCGATCCTCCCCACCTCCTGAGGAGATGGGTCCGTCTGGGACTACAGGCTCATACTACAGCACCTGGCGGACTTTTGTGTTATTCTTGCCCAAATGTATAATTTTATTCCAATTATGAGAAAACATCATACAAACCCAAACTGAGGGACATTCCATACAGTAACTGCAGAGGACTCTAAAAGTATTAAGGTCATGAAAATAAGAGAGGATCAAGACATTGTTACAGACTGGAGGATACGAGAGAGATAACTAAATGTAACTGGGATCCTGGGTGTGATCCTGAACAGAAAAAGCACACTCATGGGAAAACTGATGAAATTCAAATAAGATCTGTAGTTAGTATTAATTTCCTGTCCTTGATAATATACTATGGTTATATAAAATGTTAACATTACAGGAAACAGGAGGAGTGAGGTAAGAGAACTGTGCTCAATTTATACAACTTTTCTATCAGTCTAAGATTAATCAAAACAAAAAGTGAAAAAAGAAATGATGCTGAAGAGGATTATTTACTAATATGGAAAGGCATTAATAACAAACAGTTCAGTAAAGTACGTTACAAAGAAGTACATATAAAATCTCAATTTCATTAAGTATTATATTTATAATTACACAGAGAAAAATCATGAGGAGTATTTAACAAAATGTCAACAGAAATGGGTGGTGAGATTTTAGCACATTTTCATGGAATTCATTAGTCTGCTTACCTGATGAGTAATATCCTTACAGGGAGTCCACATTTGGTGGCTAATTTTATGATTTTTAAATTAAAATTTATTTTACTAAAACCATTTAAAAATAATTACACCTTCCAGTATTCCAATTCCAACTTTTCTGGGGTACTCATACATGAACAACTTTTCTCTACACACCTGGCAACAACTACAACTAACAGAGGTAATATATAATGTTCTATGTTATACCTAAGGTTTTTTTCATCAAGAGCACTAAACGAAAAAAAAAAAAAATCTTGCATATTCAGCACTACAAAACCAAACAAAAAACCTTTCTGTTCTACTTAATTATAGGAGGCATAGAACTCTTTTCAATTTCTCTTTTTAAGAATAGAAGAAATGTGAGAGTAAAAAAAGAGTACAAGCCCTTCACATTTTATAGATGAGAAAGCTAAGTCACAGGGGAGTAAAATGACTTGTCCAAAATCGTTAAATAACCAGTTGGTATCAATGTCAGGAACAGAACTAGGTATCTGAACTCCAAAAGTTCAGTGCCCTTTCTACTAAACCAAACATAAGTATACAGTTTTTACATCTACCTTTACT